TCAAATCCTGGTGTTCAACAAATCAAAAAGGAGTTTAAAATTGCAATTATTTCATCCACTCATGGCGGCAAAAGTCTATTCATCTGCATAGCTTTTTTTTGGGTCCTTTCCTATTGATTGAAAGTGGAGAGAGAATAGAAGAAAGGCAAGAAAATGAGACAGCGCGAATGAGACCGGCCTCTGTGTCCGAATCAATCTCCAGATAAGTATGGACGATCGATTCCCCGGCAGCCCATCTACAGTTAAGCACTTCAGTGGATGTGCACTAATTGTCCTGTTGACATTAATTGTCATTAAAGGGCTTAAAACGGCCTCCCGGCTGTGAGTTACATCCTGCGCTAAGGTTGCAACCCATTTGTTTATTGGTGACATCACAGCTCTCCCTGCCGCTCACACTGAGGTCACAGTTAGATCAGACAGGTGGAGCAGGACGGGTTCATTTGGAGCATCCAACCACGCACACTGAAAACACTGAAACGTTGACTTTAATTATGCATGTATAACGTCAACAGATTTCACATAACTGAATTAGGTTAGTAATAATACGTTTAAATACAAAATATTAGGTTCAACTTATTATTATTGCCATCAACTAACCTAATACAGTTATGTGAAATGTGTTGACGTAATACATTTAATTAGTTTCAGTTTCTTTAGTGCGCTTCACACGGATGACATCATCAAGGCGTTTTGTTGTCCCCATTAACTGGTCGGCAGGTTCGAGGAACCCTCATTAAGCTGGAGGGAACATGCCTAGGTGTGTGTGTGTGTGTGTGTGTGTGTGTGTGTGTGTGTGTGTGTGTGTGTGTGTGTGTGTGTGTGTGTGTGTGTGTGTGTGTGTGTGTGTGTGTGTGTACCTCTAACTTCCTGAGGGGAAGTCTAAAAGGCCCCCCTGCATTGCCGTCAAACCCCTTTAACCGGGGGGGAATCAATCAGTTTCATTTGGCCTTACAAATTGGTTTGTGTGTGTGTGTGTGTATTCGCCCTGGATGTGAATGTGTGTGTGAATGGGGGCCAAGGTGCATAAGAAAGGAGCTGTGTGGAGGGGAGAGGGGGCAGAGATGGACACACACCGATGCAAGCCTAACACATCCCTGGAAAAGGGGTCATGACCCCTGCTGCGCTCAAACAGCATTTCAGAGTGGTAGAGACATGGGGGGGGGTGCTTACCTACCACAGAGCAGAGAAGACACGACAGGAAACATGAGGAGAGAGTTATCTAGATTAGCTACACAGGATAAACACGGACAAGCTCCAAATCATCTCATCTGACCCTCTGATTGGATGCAGTCCTCTCAGCCTAATGCATCTATGTCTGCCTGAACTAGCTCTGAAACACACACATCTGACCGATCTGAACGATTGAGAATATTACTTTCTCTATCAACTTTAAGATGGACAAAACTGACAATAACAGGTGCAACATGTCTGCGGCAATCCCCTTTTGTTATGAATCTAATAAAAGGAACATCCATCTTTTTTTGATGTATCTATTCGTTCCCTTTTTCTATTCCTTGTGTGCAGATATCTCACTGTAACTAACTGTAACATGTGCAGCTCTGGAAAAATGTAAGAGACCACTCCAAATCTCTACATGTATGGCAGCCATTCCATTCCAGTGTCTGTTGAATTCCAACACAGAGAAATGTTGTCAGTAGTTTATAGAATAAAATAAAAAGATGTTCATTTTATTCAAACACATACCTGTAAATAGTAAAAACCAGAGAAACTGACAATACTGCAGTGCTTTCTTCATGTTTTCCAGAGCTGTATGTGAAGCCATAATTCTGTTATCGTATTCTGTTGCTTTTACCTCTTAGAATATTTAACAAATTGTACGGTGTCCTTGGTGGTCATGAAAGGCACCTTAAATAAAATGTATTATTATTACTATTATTATTATCCCTTCCTCTAGATACTTTATGACCTTTTTCATAGCTATCCCTTGAAAATGAAAAGAAACAGCCTATAAATTAAAGTATTAAAGCAAGGCTAAAATATACAAATAACTATATTTTGTATTGAACCTGGCTATACAAGTTAACCGTATGTTTTGATAATTAATTTCTCATGGCTTGTAAATCCCTCTGTATTGTATGTGGATTTAAAGGTCCCATGTCATGGCCATTTCTACTGATCATATTTCCATTGTTGAGGTCTACTAGAATAGATTTACATTGTTCAATGTTCCAAACTCACATTGGTTTCTCATACAGCATCTCTGTATAGTATGTGTATTCACTCTCTGTCCTAAGCGGCTTGTTGGAGCTCCTGCCCCCCCCCTCCCTGTGAGCCCAGTGTGCTCTGATTGGTCAGCTCGCCCACTCTGTTCTGATGAGTCCTCCACCGTTACAGCTGAACATCAGTGATTATGTGTTACAATGGCGTTTGTTAGCAACCAGAAAATGACAGCAGTAAGGACAAACAGATGAGAATGCTGCATGGGGTCTAGGTGCCGTGTTGGCGGGACGTTGCGCGGCTCGCTGCTGTGAGGAGGGGACAGTGTGAGCTGGGTTCATTTCCTGCTTGCTGCGTGGGGTCTGCGAGACAGCGAGACATCGCGAAACTCAGCCTGAACTCAGCCTGAGCACCATGAAAGGGGGGGTGCTGAGGGGGCTGCAGCACCCCCATCTGCGAGGCTCCACTAGCACCCGCACTCCTAAACGCGGCGCACCTACAGTGTAAGCGCGCCACAGTTTCGCCGCTGCGAGGCTCCACTTGCACCCCCCCCCCCCAGCGCATCACAGTTTCGCCGCTGAGAGAGTGTGTGTGTGTGAGGAGCTCCACGGATTGGTCCATTTGGGTATGGTCACGTCACCATACCCAGGAAGAAAAAGAGAAATCTCCAATGAGGCGTTCTGGGGCAGCATAGACAGGTCTTTTCTGTGTTAGAGTTTTACTCGCTACAGGGTGTACTTTGAGGGTTTGTGACTCTGCAGACCGTTTACAGTACATGCAGAAAAACCTTCATAACACACAAGGGGACGGGTAATAACCGGAAAAGCATGGCATGGGAACAGATCTTTCTCATAAAACCAAGTAACTTCTTTTAAAATGTTCTGCTGCGGTAATGGCGATCTAATTGATAGAAAATATGACTTTCTCTTAAAACTTTAAGATGGACAAAAACGGACAAATATGGGTGCAACATGTCAAACAGCTGCAAACCGATTTGTTACAATATAAATGAAAGGAACATCCATCATTTGAATGTGTCTATTTTGTGTGTTAAAATATCTCACTGTAACCTATTAGCATTTCCTTTGTTTCCCTCTTCATCTCTTCCTCTCTGTATAAAGGTATTTCATGGCCTTTTTCATAGCTATCCTATAACAATGAAAAGAAACAGACTTTAAACTAACTAAATAAAAGTAAGGCTTACAGGTCATATTTTAGGTAGAACATTTCTTTTTATATTAAAGCTGCTTTAAAAGTGAACCAATATGTTTTTTGTTCTTTACTCATTGCTTCTAAATCCATGTTTTGTCCATGGATGTAACAAGAAACGCACTTTCTGTTTTCTAAGAAACAGATCTTTCTTAGAAAACCAAGTAACCTTTTCAAAAACATTTTTATCTATTTCAATGTTAACAACAGTGTCAATGCGGCCATACAAACAGCCTTCATGCCCTCACTGTGCAGACAGTGTGTGCCAGGTGACGTTAGAGTGCAGGAGTTGACTCCTGAATGGCCTCAGTGTTTGCACATCTGCTGTTTACGATGCTTTACTCGGGTTAATTAGCTCCAATGCAACACGCATTCACATGATCATGAGTGAGTTAATGTGACCCAATTACTGATCCAAAATCAAATCTGCTGCACAAACTTTGAGGCCCTCAATCAATGCCCCCAATAAGCTGCTGATACCACTCAGCTGACGGGGATGTACCCTAGTGGCCAGATGACTCAACTACAGATGGGTTTCTTCTTCTGCACCACACAGAGGGAAGTCATTCCTAATGCTGCGTTCTATTGGTACTGGGAAGTCGGAGTATCCCAGTTTCAACTGTCAACGCCCCGAGGCCAGAATTCCTACTTGGAAACTCTGAGATACCTCGCGAGATCATCATTAAAAATAGAGTCTCCACTTATAAACATTATGAGATCACTTTGATAATATAACATTTTAAACTCTTCTGTATTATTTGTATCACATGAAATCAACTGTACATATGGCGCTGCTCATCTTCTATCTGTGGATATGTTGCTACGATTCACAAAATAAAAAATAAAGCGTAGTTATCAACCGGTAATGCTAACAATGGCTAACCTGAGGCTACTGCTAAAGCTGTAAACAAGGCAAACATTCAAGGCAAGGTTCCAACAACCTGGGTGTGAGGTCAATACCAGATCCAACCTCCGACTCCCAATGTAAATGGAACGCTGCATTAGATATTTCAGCAAAACCCGTCCCTTCAGAAAGCCCCCCCTCCTCTTCCCCTCTTCTCTGAATGGTTGGAATAAACAATGCCCACACCTTGAACAGGCCACTGATTCCACAGCCATTGTTCTGGAGAGGATCGGCCAACAAGTGGCTCTCCCACTCTGTTATCACCGGACACTGTCTGCACTGGGCCTTTATGACTGTTATGCCACCACCACTAGCACCCCATCTCCTCTCGTGAATGACAGCGCTACCTTGGCTCTCACTGGCCTCATGTGCACCAAGAACAGGAGAGGAGGAGGAGGAGGAGGAGGAATAAAGAGGAGGGGAGCAGGAGAGGAAGAGCAGTGAATGGCACCATAACAATGCACTTGGGGGCCAGGTTGGCAAACACAGCTGGGCCAGCAACAGTGAAGCGTTTAATGAGTCATAACTCTAAAGAGACAGTGGGCTACTAAAACCACTTTTACTAGATTGCAGTCCCTCTCTTATACCCACACATTACTAGGAGTTTCATAGCTTAACCAAATATGTATATTAGCATAGCGTTGTGCACAAATGTCCCCATATGGAACAGATTGTCTATATACGATGAAACAGAGGGTGTAACACTCACCTCAATGACCTGTTTGGAGTCCAGCCTGAAGTTAAAGTCCCCGAACACGAAATATGGCAGCCTCTCATGCCGCTGGTCCGTGATCCTGAAACACATTACAACATTGTAGTCAGTTTTATACAGCCATAATCACAATCATCATTCCTCATCAACAGAAGTCTTTAATAACACTTCAAATCCTAACAACCACCATCTTGACAAGAATGAAACGACTTGTTAAGGTTTTTTGAAGCCTTCATTTGATGACTCCCCTGACCTCAGGGTAGTTAGTTCATGCAGGCCACAGCACCACCTGGTGGTGAGAACACTCCAATAGGAAGACCTGGGTCAGTCAGTAAGACTTCATGTGAAGCTTTTTGACATCCTTTGTGGTATGACATCATCTTTGGCACATCAGTTATAGGGCATTTATGATTCACCACAGGAAGGATGTAATAAAGTAAGGGACGAATAGAGAACATTCAAGAAAGCATGTCATCTGAGAGTTACATTTCCAGGAACAGCTGGGGCCTATGATGATGAATGAAACTGCTCGTATGTCATGATTGAGATAGAAAGCTGACAGACAGACGTCCCAAATATTCTATCCATAATAATCATTTTTTAAGTCAAGTCAATATTATTGGATAATTATCCAACAAAGTTACAATCTGAACCTCACACGTGATTTATATCCTTTGACACCATCCTTTTGGATGAAGAAAAACGACCCAAAATAAACTTTAAGATTTCTTTGGGTAACCAGTCCCTTATTGTAAAGAAAGACTTGAACCGGACACACACACACACACACACACCAAAAGACACACAGGCCGAATTCAAACCCGGGTCAAAGCCCCAGCACACGGGCCCCCAGCTCTACCAAGTGAGCTGTAAAGCAAAACACTTTTAACAGGGAAAGAAACAATTCTTTATTTACAACTGTTTGCATTCAGGAAATGCAATTTCCAACTTTACAAATAAGTGAAGGAAGACAGCATCTTTCAAAGGGATTTGAGAAAACAGTTCCAACAGTTCATTCTCAGCTGACACCACATGGAAATCAATAAATCCTGATCATCTCCTTTGATGGCAAAGAACATTCACTTTAGTAAATTGATCAAAGGGAGAGTGAAGCAGAGAAGAAACCTGAGGCTATGTTCCATGTTGGTCCTGTACCCATCCGTGACAGCTGCCTCACAGAGAGATAAGACGGCTGTAGATGTGTTGGGGGGGGGGGGGGGGCTCATGGGTTTACACGAGAGTCAGAAACAGGCTCTGAAGGACCGCGTGCCCCAGGCTCTGCTTCACTAGCAGTGCTCCTTATGGGACTTTTGATTTTTGATGCCTCCTAAGGGTGTTTTAATCTGGCATGTTTTACTGTCTCCTGTCTTGTGAATGTTGTTAATGTACTGTATGCATTGCTTTTTAAACCTTGGTATAGTGTCAGAGAATTTAGATCATCTGTGTCATGGACGACTTCCAAAACTCGGGAACCTCGTGAGCATCCCAGTGCTTTAAAAAAATAAAAGAACGCACCTAAGTGACATATAATTAACTCCTATGCCTCATCACCTACTTAAAAGTGGCTTTTCTACAGAGCGCAGATAGGAAATTAAGGTGGACGCAGCGTCTTGTGTAATTAATGATTCAGGATGCTTGGCTCGCTATCTCCACTAAACGCGCGGATAAATCTCACCGTGGACTTCCCAGGCCCAGATAACAATATATTTATGAGGCCGTAAAGAGAGAAGGAGCCTGCTCTTAGTGGTGGGTCTGGGCTTTGGCCGGCTGTCGTAAAGCACGGACACTTCTTCTGGGGGCAGAGAGAGGGAATGGCAGGGAGGCGAAGGTGACTGAAGTAAAGAGGAGGGGAACGCAGCTATTATATGAAATGGAGTAATTCTGACATTATATTAAAGAGAAACCTGTCTTTCAGCAGAACAGTCCCACAAAGACAGGACTAGCATTCAGGACGTCCTGTGCAAAATGACAGATGACATGTTTCATTGTTATAATTGATATGATTATTCATTTACAGGACTGTTCTAGCTATAAGATGAACAGTAGAAAGAGTAGAGTAAAGTAGAAGGATAGGAGAAATAATTTGATATGATCATATTTTATTTTTGAAGAATATGGATCCTTAGTTGCCTTCTTGTAGTTGCAATATGGGCTGCAACCAAGTAATGAGTAATGCTCTTGTTTATAAGCTATTTGGTTATGAACATGTTTCCATGTCACTGCCATTTATACCTTATATCAGTTATTTTTGGAAGAATTGAATGATAGAATATTCTCAGTGACTGACCAAAAAAATCAAACATCAATGCTTGACAGGTCACCAATAGATGATTCAAATAATCATCTTTCAATGGGAAAGGCAAAGGGACTTCTTAAAAAGCTCAAAAGTAACCAACAACACAAAGGGCCAAAAACAAATGAGATGCTCTGGTTGTGTGTGCAAGAGAAATATTTGTAACAGTCTCACAAGTGTTGTAGGTGTGTGCGCAAACACTTGTTGACATCTGAAACAGACTCACTGTGTGTGGCTGTGGCTAATTTATACACTCAACCTGTGACTGATGTCATTAATGACCTCACATCCTGGTGCTAAGAGACTCGGCTCTATTCAAACAGGGTTAGTGGTCAGTGTATCCTATTGGCTCCGATGGAGGGCAGTAAAATGGCTGTACACAGCGTCAGGGCAGTTGTTATAGGCGTGGGAACTCTTGTCTCCCTTGTGCTCTTAGAGAATGTACCACTTCTGCTGCTGTGAGTGACGAGTTTAAGCAGAAGAGAATGTAAATAGATAAATAATAAACTCTGTTTCACATGTAATCTGCATGATCATACAAAAAAAAAAGCAACTAGAGAATGCAATTCCGAAGTAATGTCCTTATTGATCTGCATCATTTGATGTTCAAACAGAGTTTTTGCATTGCAAAATGTGGGAGAAGAAGGCAATCAATAAAGGCGGCAGGATTTGTACAGATGATGGACATATGCCTCTCAGCATTCACACCAAATGAGAAAGTGTTTGTGTCCCACAGCCTGGGGGTCTTCCTCCTCTCTGTCCTGTAGCTTTATCCCGCTAACAGCCATGTCTAATACCCGCAGCCCGGCTGTTTTGTTTGCTGCTCCAAGGTATCAGCCACAGGTCAGAAGGTAACACTCTGTTTACACGATCATTTCCTAAAGCACTCATGGTGACCCGCTGGTGTGAAAGTTGACTTTTTTCTTGGCCTTTGTGGGGGGGGAAAACGAAGAATTGCAACATTAGCTACAGCTACTGGGCGTGAAAAGAGCCTGAGGGTGGGGGGTCCCGAGCTTGGGGGGCCTCTCGAGCTGACCCTCACCCTCAGCGGGGGCCCCATTAGCCTCGTCATCACAGTTCATTCATGGAAACTGTAACAGTGTCAGTGACATTCTCCCACAAAGACGCACTCCTTTACACAGTCTATAAACATGCTTCTCCGGGCCAATTCATCGCGCAGTGACACCCTGAAAGAGGCTCTTCACAAGGGCCGTTCTCACTGAGGCTTGGGCAGGGGCCTTCTTCAGGTCTTCCTAGGGGCCACACAAAGACTGGGGTCAGACGCTAATTTATAACATGGCCCCCGACTCTGCTCCCAGGCTCCTTTAACCACCAGCACAATGCAACCACAGCACATTCTCTGATTCTGATTGGAAAGCTCTCACACACAGTTATGGTGCCGCCAAAGGGAACAAATGCGCAAATAAACTGTGCCCACGAAAACATTGAAATGCTCCACGATAAGGACAACATCTTATTCTCAGAGATATCACTAGTACCATAAAACCAAATAAATCTTTCTCCTTCACCCCAGCCTCCATCCCTCACCGGTTCCTCACCAGATTACACGCTGTGATTGACAGCTAAACTGAGCCATAATAGACAGTCTATATGAGATTATGAGGGTGCAACGGGGGGCCATGTCACGATTATATTGACAAGATGACTTACCATAAGTTGTCCGCTCAGATTGGACTTTGCACACAATAGCAGGGCCGAGCGCAGTCATCCATTGTAAGTAAATGTTGAGATTTTGGGAGAATGTTAACATTGTGAAGAATGTGCTGGGTGACGTCTTTCTGAATAGGACAGGGGTGGCCCCTGACAGGACCTTTGACTCTGCGGGACGGCCAGGGGAGATGGGTGCTGAGGGGGTGCGAGGATGCTGCTGCGGTCACACAGAGGTTACTGAATAAGTCAGGTCGAGCCAACAGAACTGTCGAAAAACAGACTCATGATGAGGAAGACCCATTCAGTAGGTGGAGCCAACTGAGTAGAAATGTGAGGAGCTGTGCTCTGTGGCAAAAACGTCACTGCGCTGGCACTGCCGTTGTGTTTCTATGTAGAGAGCGGTGCCGCCCAACAAAACAGAACTGTACCCATGGCAATGCGCAGCGCTCAAAATTGTCGAAGAGCGCTGCTGAACAACTTTCACATTGTTTGCTGCTAACCATTTCGATGCAAAACCAATTAGATAGCAGCTGTGCTAAGTTACGCAAGCTAGCAGGGAATGAAAACTGAACTGGCTGTTTTCACCACAAAGCTCTAAGCCCAACTCATGTAGCACATTTCTGGCACTGGACAAAAGACCACCTGTGTAACTGGACTGGATTACCAGCCGAGCAAATTGAGCATCTGTCCTGGACACCAGGAGGGCCCACTAAGGTACACAATCAACTTGGTCCTTATTATGTATTTCTATCTTCGTACCTTGTGGTACAGTAAGGTCCCAATAACACCGATACACAACACAACAGGTGCAGCCATTACAACCTGTTGGGACAAATGTGTCAAGAAAAGCAGTGTGGCGCGAATGTCTGTGAGCAACCAGGAAATCCAAAGTGATTAACCGGAAAAAGATGTTGCAAAAACAAAAATTGGACTGATAGTTTGATATGAGTTACATCACAGTACAGTTAGGCCACACTATTGCCGCATCAACGATATTATTCTATTAAGCAAAGACGCTCCAAAACTAATTACACACACTTTGATTCAATTTGGGGTTAGGTAGCTTGCCAAAGGACACTTCAACATGTTGACTGTACGGGCTGGGAATCGGACCACTG